GAGACAGAGACAGAGAGACAGAGAGAGACAGAGACAGAGAGACAGAGACAGAGAGACAGAGAGAGACAGAGACAGAGAGACAGAGACAGAGAGACAGAGAGAGACAGAGACAGAGACAGAGACAGACAGACAGACAGACAGACAGACAGGCAGACAGACAGGCACAGGCACAGGGACAGAGACTGAGACAGAGACAGAGGGACTACAGTTCTGAATCTTGATTTTGGATTTTCAGCCTCCAGAACTGCAGGAGAATACATTTCTATTGTTGAGCCCCCCCAGTTTGGGTGTCTATAAAGGCAGCCCAAGGAAACTAACACCATCAGGTACTGGGGCATGTGAGGTATTATGATAAATCTCACTGGGCCCAAGTCCTTGGAGTGTGGCCCTTAGAAACAGTTCTCGCCGTTCTTTTCCCTGCCCTGATGGGAGTCTGATAGGTTAAGAGGGGCTGGAGCTATCTCCTTGCCCCGTGCTAGGGAAAATAAGGCCTTGATAAAGCAGTGCCCCTTCATGGCAGACCTTGGCCAAGGAGAACAGAATGTTCTGGACTTTGAAAATGGTTACTTTTCTCTGGGTGTATTATGAAATGGTTACTTTCCCACTCCCTTGCTTGAAACCTGGGGATTTTTCTCCCACCTTCAGAAGAGACCTGGTTGAGCTCTGGGGAAAACTCCAGGAAAGCGTGGGGACCCTGGGAGCCTGTAACTTCCGGGGCCAGCCTCCAGCAATTCCTCACAGACCAATTAAGTGCCCTGAGTGTTCCCACTGCTCCAGGCATCTGTCCAGGTAAGTCAAGATTTTCTTCCTTCCTCACGGGTCTCCTGTTTTCAAGGTGTGCAGTTTGCTCTGTGACCTCAATTCTCTGAAGGATCTAAGAAAAGTCACTGCTTTTCAATTTGTTTCTTTTTGTTTGTTTGTTTGTATGATGGAAATAATGACTTAGGGTCTCTTTACTGTCGTGTGGTAGCTTTTTGTAATTTAGAATTATATGTGGCTTTGTCATGGATTTTAATCTCCCTTTTAATTCCCATTTTTCCTTTTTCAAAGGTATTTGTTTTTCTTGCTAAAAGCTATAGGGGGACTGACAGAATAACAAAAATAAGAGACACAGGAATGCTCCAAAGGCCAAGAATTTAATAAATCCCTCAGAGTAATGGTGATCTGGTCTGCAATTCTGACTTTTTTTCTAGAAATTTCTGAAGTCCTCAGTAGCCTCTCCAATGTCTGACTTTCTGCCTTATGGTCGCTCTTGTTCTTCTGCCAAAGAGCATTTTTTAATCTCACCCCCTGCACAATTATTTCCAGTGTGGTTCTTTATCTTGCTGTTTCTTTATGAAACTATGAAGTTTAAGGTTTAGGCTTTTCTGACCTTAGTAACTAACTCACTGGAGCTTTGGAGAAAGCCAGCTTGTGGTTCCAGGTCTGGAAAAGTGGGAAATGGGTCAGGTCAGTGCTGGCTGGGCCACGGACGATATACTGCTCACTTGTCACTTGCTAGCATATGAGACCCCCATGTGCCCGGGATCCACCCTCTGATGGTGGCTCTCACAGAGACAGGCAGGCCCAAAGAAGAATATTTCTCGAATCTGACATCTAGAAATTTGCTCAATACTTTCTCCTCTTTTTTTTTTTTTTTTTAAACTGGGAAAAAGTGTGTATTTAGAATTAGCCAGCTGGACTCAGTTTAGATAATCCCAATTTTGTTGGCAACATCCAGTGCATCATAATCGGGAGCCAGACGAACATATTCCTTCTTCTCTCCATCAGGCCTGATTAGGGGATTGACCTTGGTGACATCAATGTCATAGAGCCTCTTTACAGCTTGTCTGATCTGGTGCTTATTGGCTTTGACATCCACAGTGAACACGAGTGTGTTGTTGTCCTCGATCTTTTTCATGGCTGACTCTGTGGTCAGGGGGAACTTGATGATGGCATAGTGGTCAAGCTTGTTCCTCCTGGGGGCGCTCTTCCGAAGGTATTTGGGCTGCCTCTGGAGCCACAGTGTCTTGGGATGGCGGAAGGTGGGCGATGTTCGTATCTTCTTCTTTTTGTGGCTGTGGATGCATTTCAGCACGGCCTTCTTGGCCTTCAACTCTTTTGCTTTGGCTTCAGTTTTGGGAGGGGCAGGGGCTTCCCTCTTTGCCTTCGATGCCATCTTGGTAAAAAGGTTCCCTTTCTCCTCTTTAAAACAGCTATCTATATCACAACTGTGGTGTATGTCTACTGTAAAAAAAAAAAAAAGGGGGGGGAAATATAGATAAATATATTTTGGTGTGTGTTGACAAAGCAAGCACATAAATAAGTATAGAGAGAAAGATAACAATGACCCACCATTACGTATTTTATTTGGTTGGGATTTCTCTGACCTTTTATTTATTTATTTATTTATTTATTTGCAGAACCAGGGACTGAACTCAGGCCCTTGCGCTTGCAGGGAAGCACTTATTCTACTGAGCCATCTCCCCAGCACTCTGACCTTGTAATTATACATTGCTAATGCTCAGAGGGAAGGGTGAAGAAATCTGTAACAATCTGCAGATGCCAAGGGTTGTTATGGTTGCTGTATATGCCTGTAAACTAATTCAGTAGTTCAGGAGTGTGGCTGGGCAGGGATGAGGCCTTGGACGTCCAGCGGTCCTGGTCTGAATCCCAGGTGTCACGGGATGACTGGCAAGGTGCCTTTCTGCGTTTCATTTTCCTCATCTGGATAGTGGAACTGATGGCCCCGACTCTCAGGGGTAAGCGACTGGCTGATCTTAAAAGTGTGAAGCTCTTTACATCAGGGTTGAGAGCAAATGGGAAGTCCCGGAGCAGCTGGAGGGAAAGAGGAGTGAGGTGGACGAAGAGGACCACAAATCTGCAGGACCACAGAGTCAGCCATTTCCACTTTTTGGAAACTCTCTGGTCCTTTCATGTGTAGTACATTGTACTTATTATTCTATTTCCAGTGAAAGTTTTTTTTTTTTCTGTTTTAAATGTAATTTATAACAGTTAAAACCCCAGACTTCCGCTCGTCTTCATAGAAGAATGCCAGCTAATAAGAAGGAAGGATGAATTTGTTGACCAACATTTTGTAAGGACCCCAAAATAACAGAATGCATGTGGCATCTTGTGAAAGGTTGCTGGATATGGGGTATGTGAGCAGTATCAGACATCATAGAATTTATATTAACTATGGGAGGGAGATTTTTGGACATCACCCTAACCAAATGATCAGAATTAGATTGATTGATTCTGTATTTAGTACAGGGTCTACAGGGTCTCACTACACAGCTCTGACTCCTAGTGATCCTCCTGTTTTCAGCCTCCCCAGCGCTGGGATTACAGGGGTGTGCCACCATGCCCCATCTAGGTGGCTGGCTCAGCACCCCTAGGGGTGGGGCTGGCGCAGCATGTGGTGCCAGGGGTTGAACCCTGGTCCCTTCACTTGCGTAACCAGGTGCTCAGTCTGCTGTGCTATCTCGCTGGCCCCAGAATTAGATTTATAAACAATGGGGTAAATTAAACATTATGTACCTCTTGGTGTGATGTAGTCAGGGGACATAAGAACTGTAGATTATTTTTGCTAAAAATGGTTAATTTGGATTACCTCATAAGGGAGCTAATTAGGTAAACAGAGATGAGGGAATAGTCCATCAGACTTCAAATATGTTAATATTATGAAGGACAAAAAAGGGTTGGGAGACAGCCCCAGGTGAAAATGCATTAAATAGTCAAACATAATGTGCCAACCTTGATTTTATACAGGGTGATTTTTTTTTTTTTTTTTTTTTTTGGTAGAACTGGGATTGAACTCAGACCCTGTGCTTGCCAGGCAAGCACTTATTCTACTGAGCTATCTCCCCAGCCCCAGGGGTGATGTTTTTTAAAAGTCTTAGAAGACATTTGGGAGATAGTTGGGGATATTTGAGTAAGAAGCATTTATTAGGTGACATTATTATATCCATGTTAGATTTCTTGGCTGTTTGTAATCCCAGCTATTCATGCAGCAGAGGCAGAAGGACTGAAAGTTTGAGCTTCAACTGGGCAACTTGGCAAGAATTTGTCTCTAAAGAAGTGGGGGTGACATTGTGGTTATGAAAGAGAATGTTGTGCAAAACAGATGCAGGTGAATTACTTAGATGTGCAGTGACCTTTTATCTGCAATCTACTCCAAATGGTTTAGTAAAGATAAGATGTACACATATAATGGTGATAGGTAAATGAGTGTTTAATTATTGCTCAACTTTTCTGAAAGGTTGACATTTAAAAAAATAAAAATTGGGGGGAAAATCCTGCTTTCAGATGAATGCTGGAATAAGAATTCTCACTGGCCTTGCTATTGGGACTTCCTTCTGGCCCCTGGAAGAGTTAGGAAACTTCTAGAGTCAAGATTGAAGCTTACATGGTATTTTCTAGCTAAATTTTCCCACTTGGACATCTGGTCTAACATGGGTAAACATAATTGTTCCCTGCACTTGAATTATATTTGGCTTTGCTTCATAGTTCTAAGAAAATTCCACTGAGCTGATGTTTAATAGCTTCCTGAGTGTTGACACTACTGAGTTTAGATACCAGAACTGTCTTGAATAGGCTGGAGAGAATATGCATGAGAAAGATCTTTCCTGTGTTTAGATTATGGGAATCTGACAATGTATCGTAGTGCCAGGCAGCTGAAGGAAAGCCTCCTTCTTAGGAACATCTGACTCCTCCTTACATCTGCCTATACAGAGCAAAGACTGAGACCTGCTGTCATGTTAAGAAAACATGGAAAGCAGGAAGTCAAAACCTTTCCCTGAAGAAACAACACAAAATCATTAGAGAACTAACACCATGGTTTTTTTTCCTTTTTTCTTTTTTTGTATTCTCTTACATAATCCCAGTAGGGCAGTGTGAATTATTCCTTTAGTTGCCACTTGAAGCAGATGGAGATATTATTTCAAGAAAGGATGTATGAGGTTGGATGCCAGCTCCTGGTGACAGAGGAAATTACTGCCACATAATAAAAGGGATGAAAACAGCGGGAGGAAATCAGAAGATGAATCTGTCCCTCACTGCAGTGGCATCAAGAGGTGCCATGTCCCTTTTCATCTGCCAGTTTCAATTATTTCATCATGCATGATGCCTAAAGACTGTGTTAAGGACTTCCAGCCGGGTATGGTGGTGCATGGCTGTAATCCTAGCACTCTGGAGGCTGGGCCAGGAGGATCACCACGAGTTCAAGGCCAGCCTGGGCTACAGAAGCAAGTTCAAGGCCATTCTGAACTGGTTAGTGAGACCCTGTCTCAAAAACCAAACCAAACCAACCAAGGAAACCAAAAATCCCTGCAACAACTCAGTGAGCTGGGTGTACTGTTGCTGTTGTAGGGTGCGAAGGACAGTCACCTCAGGTGGTGTGCTCCCCTCTGCCACCTGGCCTTCCTGGCTGCTGCATTCAGATTTCAGTTCTGCCTCTGTCACTCCTGATCCTCTTTCCCTGCTTTGGTTTTCCCTTGACATCTGTCACCAGCTGGCTTTCCATGTCTTACTGATTTGTTTGCTGTCATTCTCCTTCCAGTAGGGTGCAAGCCCTTGGGGAGGGTTTGGTCGCTTCCGCTTCTCCTTGGTCTGTTTTCTGCTTCTCTAGCAGCTTCCCTCCCTCAGTTTAGTACAGAGTTGTTGCCAGTAAACTCTTCTAGAATGAAAGAGGCTTAGAGCCTTTCGGGCTTTGCCAGAAATCATATGGCTACTTCACAGTGACAGATGGGAGGGGGACCTCATGGCTAGTTTCCACTGAGAAAGTTCCACGTGTGACGAAAAGAACCCAG